AGGCCAGGATGCTGTTGGCCGCCTTGCCCACTCGGGCACACGGCCGGCTCACTTTCAGCCAACTGCCGACCAGCACCTCCAGCTCCTTTCCCACCGGGCACTTTCCAGCCGCTCCTCCCCAGCCTGTAGCGCTGCATGGGGTTGGTGTGACCCAAGGGCAGGACCCGGCACTTGGACTGTTGAACCTCATGGCATTGGCCTCAGCCCATCGATCCAGCCTGTCCAGGTCCCTCTGCAGAGCCTTCCTGCCCTCGGGCAGGTCAACACTCCCACCCAGCTTGGTGTCGTCTGCTAAGTTACTGAGGAGGCACGCAATCCCCTTATCCAGATCATCCATAAAGGCGTTAAACAAGACTGGCCCCAATACTGAGCCCTGGGGGACACTGCTTGTGAGCGACTGCCAGCTGGATTTAACTCCATTCATCACCACCCTCTGTGCTTGGCTGCCCAGCCAGTTTTTTACTTCCTTGCACTGAAGTATAATTCAATTTTCCTTTGGTCTGTCACTTTCATTTAAATTTAGAAACATACTTAAGAGAAAATTTTTATCAATTTCTTTGACAACCAGATGCCATAATGATGGTTATTTTACCTCAATCTCTTAGCTATCTGTACTTTATTCATTAAAGTCTCAGGTTATAGAGAAATATATAAAAAGTAAAATAAAAAAGTTAGCCATTATGTTTTAGCATTGATAGTCCTCCCTTAAGATAACATCAGAGTTAAAACTGAAGACAGCCTCAGGATTAAGATGTAAATTAGATACGGTCTAACAAAAGTTTCATCAATCACACTGTACAGCTCTAGTTTTATCATCAATGCTATTCCACCATGTACTTTTGTTTAGATTTTTTTTTTAACCACCTATAATGCAACATAAACTACTGTATTATTTCAAACCAATGAAGCTAAAAATGTTGCTAGTGACATTTTATTTACTGCAGTGTAACCTGAATAAGCAGGACATGGTATTCGTGTTAAGAGAGGCTTCCTCTCAAGCTACCTCAGTCATGAACATAAGCAATGAGGTTAATACTCCTTTTCAAGGCAAAGCTAAAGACCTTTGCCCTCATCTCCTTCCACAACCTTCTAAAGAAATTGCTACCTCTCAATTGCTTATAAGAAGAAGTTCTATTACAAAACCACTATTATATTAGCTTAATAGCAGGGGAACTTCAGTGTCTTTCATGTGATAGTAAGGCTAAGAGTAAAACTTCACTAGTTAAAGGCCTGATTAGTCAACTCAACGAAAATATTTTGAAGGATTTGGGGTAAGGCTGTGCCAATAAGGACTACCAGTATTTCTTGAATATTTTTTTCCCCTCTAAGTAAATTAGCTAGAGTTCCTTAATTTGTAAGCAAAGTAATTGTTTGAACTACGAAAAACATTTCCATCTTGCAGTATTTTAAAAGGAACAGTTTAATTCAGTTGCCCAACAAACACCCGATTTAATAGCACAGAATGTCTATCTAATCTTTAGCATTAATCCTCACAATAAGCAAGTATTATTAGATCCTAATAATCCTCTAGATTATTAGATCTATACCAGATTTATATAAATGAAAGCAGTCACCAGAATAAGAAGCACACATCATAAGGAAGTGCAGCTATTTTGAAAATAATCTTATTTTCAGAAACAGGACAGAACAAAATAATGTAGATGTTTAGATGATCAGCATCAACAAAGCCTGAAATTTTGGAAACTGAAATCAGTCAGGTTTTTGTTATCAGCTTAATGTCACTGTGTTCAAAAAAGAAAACAAGTTAAATATCTAGATTCAGAGATGGACAATGTAAAACAATTGTACACTAAATGACACATATGCGTTTAAGACTCTAGGCTTCTCTACCTCTTGGTTCAGAATTTCTGACATTTTTAGTAAAATAAAATGACAAATGAAGCACCTATTCTCTGTAGTGCAGCAGTACACTCTACTGAAGGAGAAAAAATAAAATTATTAAGGCATAATAATCCTATTTGCTTGGTTTCATCATGCTCCAAATCTAGAGTCATCTACAAAATCCACAAGTTCTAAGACACCTGGACTGGAATAAGATGCGTGCTTTTACCCCTGGATAAGCATTGAGGAAAGCCTGTCCAGCAAGTCTGACAAGTCAGTATAATGAAGTCCTTACTCTTCTTATGCTCATGAACAACACGAAGAGGAGAAAATAAAGCTTCCTTCCCAGGAAATACTAAGGTCTCTGAAGTGACTGTGCAATTATTGGCTTCTTGTTCAGAATCACTGAGGATGGAAGGGATCTCTTGACATCATCCAGTCCCCATCCCCATCCCCGTGTGTGTTCTGTCCCTGCCATCATCCGTCCCTCCCAGCGGTATCAGCTACAGCAGGTTGCAACTCAACAACCTAGCTGGGCAATCTGTGACAGTGTTCAACCATCAGCCTCAAAATAAAAATTTCTTCTTCAGTTTAAACAGAATTTCCGGTATTTCAATTTGTGCCTGTCGTTTCTTGTCCTGCCACTGCCATGTATACAAACAAAATTATACATACAGGTACATCAAAGACACTGCTCTTCCACAGATCACTGCAGAACGAAAACCAGAAAAACTTCAAACTTTCAGGGGTTAATACTCACTTCTGCTTTTTTACGTGCTTCCATGGCTTTCATAAGCATCATATGCTGTCTTCTCCTTTCTCGTTCCTATTGAAGCAGGTAAGATTAGAACAAAACTAATCCACATTTTCAAATCAGTAAAAAAGCTGAGTAACAAATTTAGCATTAATAGACAAGTCACAGTAAATACTAAATATAGGACAAGAATGGCCAAGTCTGTGCATGTTTTAGTTCAGGTTTAGAAAGCAAATACAGAACAATCAAAAGCAAAAAGGTAAAGCAATGAACATGGAGACAGTGTAAAAAAGAAGCATACAGATTTACTTATGGTCAGTTGTGATGCTCCTTCATAAGCTGGCAGAACAAAAAGCATAATGGTTGGCTGGAACAGGTCAGTTACCTTACATCTGCTATTATGGAACTTGCAATTTACTTCCTCAATAGCCAATTAAGCAGAAATTTTAAACTGCTCATTTTCAAGTATTGCAAACATTAACATTTTTGTAACCAAACAACAAATTAATATGATTAATTTTCTCGGCTCTAGATCAGTTTTAATCAAACTAGTGGTGGTGCATATACGTACGCAATGACACTTGCATTTAGCGATGCCTGTCCCTCAACAAATTATGTCAGTAACTTCAAATGCACTAAGGAGCAGTATTCTAGAGCATTAAGTATGAGGGTTTTGTCTTAAAAGTTGTAGAGTAATTCTTGCCCCAGTAAAGGCTATGGAAATTTTATCATCTAATTCAGTGAGGGTAGGATTACATTCTAATGTTTCGTTCTGTACTTATAACTTTATGTATTTACCACCAACTGAAAGCTAATTTCCTCATCACCTTATAAACTTCGAAAAGACATCATCCCGATTTCTAAAACAGATTAATTCAAATTGTATTTAAAATGTCTGGATTCACTCCCATACATGGGACAAGGCTTGCAAAAATTATCCAAGTGACTACCTATAATTTTGCATTAATTAATCCCTGATTTTATACAGTAGTCCAATTTCTACTGGGACATCAGTAACATGGATTTCTGGTTAAAAATCTCATTTATTTATTGCCATGTTCAAGACGTCATTTTTTTTTCCTTAACAGACAAGACAAGCAGATGTATGCAATGCACTGTGCTGTAAAGCCATGCAGCAGTATGTAATATGACAGCAGCCAGTGCTACATTTTATGCATTGCTATGACAACCATATCACAACCAAATCACAATGCGGTGTTAGATGTACAAAAATAAACATACCCATACCATATCTAGTCTATGCCTCTCCAACTCCTGGTAGAAAGAGTTGGCACAATATTATGAAACAGAAATCACAAAGTCATAAAACCACTTCATAATCCCCCAAAAGACCCCAATACCAAAGCAAAGCAACAAATCGTAAGGTGAAAGAAAATTTGTGCAGAAATCAAACCGGGAAATTTAAAAAGGTCATATTTTGAAGATTTGCCGCCCCCCCACTATAGCTTAAGTAGTAGCAGATCGCAACTGGCATTCTGCCTGTTTGGTCAACTGAATGTATACCAACCTGGTGTTTCAGAAGAACAGCTTGCTGCCTTCGCATCTCTTTTTCCTTAAACAAAAGAACAAAAATGTATTTAAAATACCTATCAGAATTTACCTACCAAGTTGCAGATTTTTGCCATGCTAAAGCAGTAGATCTGAACTAAATTCTTACTTCCCCACTCCCCATAAACTGACCGCAGAGAAGTATACATGGTATACGTGACAGCAGGTCTATTGAGTTGGGAGTTCCACGTTAAAATACAGCAAGAATGCCAAAGCAGAAATAGAAGCACATATATAAACAGTATTTTTCATTGTTTGTAAAAGAGTTCTGTAGCCTTGTATACTTACAACCTAGAAAGACTATGCTTGTTGAGAAGCAACAGTCTTTTGACACAGTGTGCTGAAAACAATACTGTGAATGTTACTACATGGGCATTTTAAGTTATGCAAACCAAGCATCATGTAAGCAAAACTCATGGTAATGGCACGCAAAAGCTTACCATCTCTCTCTATACTCACGTGTGTAGTATGTACGAATGTACGTATGTGCACCTGTGTTTGTGTATGTCACATATACACCAACTTTCAGCATACGCTTCATGCATTTCATACGTATGCAGTATTCACACGCCATCTCTATTGACAGTTCCATTATCAATGAATATTCTTCCAAATTTACTGCTCTTACACATCAACACATACGCACAATAACACAGTTCTTGGTCTTAGAGCTCCTCTAAACCAACCTTTATTCGTTTTTCGGCCTCCAATAATTTGGCATTTGCTGCTTCTTCCTTCTTTTTCTTTTTTGCCTGTGCATGTGAAACACATTCCACACAATAGCATCATTACAACTTGGAAATAATCTGACTAGAAATAGTTACATGCCTTTAAAAGTTGAAAACATCATCGTGTATCATTGCAACAGATTCCTTCTCCAACGCAGCTTTCACAATCAATGAACTCACAATTCATTAACTTTTTAAAAATTAAGCCAGAATTTCAAGTCCAAATCAAATTTGCTTCACCTGGCTATTATAGCTAAGGAAGTAAGTATACAAATAAGCAATAAAACATAAATGGCAACAAGATTACCATTAATTTTTCCATTAATGGACACGTGAAAACTAACAAATTATCTTTGGTAATATAGTAGCAGACTAGTATGGTATAGAGGTATATTCTGGCATATACATAAACTTAGGATTTTAAATCCACTGCACCTCATACAGAGTAAAGTGATACTGCTGCAATGTTCTATTAATTGCAAACTTGTTTTCTAACTATTTCTAAAGGAATAGTTAAGCTGTTAACTTTGCGAGATCTGGGTCGCAGTTAACACAGATTTTTTAAGAAAAACATTTTAAGACATGTTTTTGAACTGGCCTTTGGAAGTCCAGGTTGTTAGAGCTGTTATATTTAGTTGCATTCCCAACTGCATGTGTGACTATTAAAATACAACGCTGTTTAAAATGGCAACACAAGGAATTGTATTTGAGCCACTATTTTTACCTCTAAAATTTGCTGAGCTCGAAGTTCTTTCTCCATTCTGATTTGCTGGATTCGCTTAATTTTTTCCTACAAGAGGAAAAAAAGTTATTTCTTTTTAAAAAAAAAACTGAGAAAGTAAATTTACGTTTACATTTTTAAAAATGACCAAGTCTATGCACAGATACATTTTGTTACCAAGCCTCACACCCATTGTAGTCAATTGCTGCCACATGACAATGCACCTTCAGCATTTTTACTAGCACTAGATGATGTCTGGTATATCCCGGAATGAACCAACACTATGCATAGGTGCTCATGTTTAAGTCATCATAGTATTTATTTTTTTAACAGCTTTAAGGGGACCAGATTAATGACAATGTCATCAAGCTAGCAGCACTCAAATTCTAGCTTTGCAACGGTGGAGTTATTTAGGAATGAATGGAAATGGCAGCTATGGCATAAAACCCACCATGTTTTGATGGTATTTCCCTGAATAAGAAACATGGGGTTCTGTCAAACCACTACTTTCTCCCTTAGTTCTAGCAGCCTTTCAGTTCATTATGGTACCACGGGCAACATGGAAAACCTGAGTACTGTGAAAATCAAAGCACACACTCTGTCAGCCAGTAAGTTACCCACATGCAATTTGGGTATTATTTTCACAGTTAAGTACACTTCAGTTTCCCCAGATTTTTAAAGCATTCAGGTAATTGACAATCAGTTTGGATGCCTTAATATGTAGTGTAGGGGACAGTTTTACACATGCTGAAGAGCTGAATAACAAAAAAAGTAACTGAAACAGCAGCCACAGGCAGTATGACACATTTCAGCATGTTTCATCGTGGTAAGAAGAAAATGATCACGCTATGCACTCCACAGATGGGTGCTATGTAACCATATTCTAATTTATTCTTTTTCAGGAATTAGTTCCTAAAATCTATAATAATCTTATTACATTGTTTTAGAAATGCAATCATTGCGAACTTTGGTATTAGTTCACATTTCGTGTGCTGCATGGGTTTTGGCTCTTAAATAGCAGCAACCCAAGTTCATATCAAAAATTTCTTAGCACATTATTCGTGGTTTCCTGATCTCAAAAAAAGCTGCTTAAGCCACAGGGGCTAGGAAGGGACCATTATGACAAGCAGTGTAGGAATACATTCAGCTGGACTTGCTGTTAAGTTTTAACAGCAAAACCGAGGCCACGAAAAAGCCCTGCAAGCTGGGAGGCCTAAATCAGAAGCCTGAAATGGAGCTCAATGCTCTTCTCTGGAACAGCAGATGTCCCAACAGTGAGTGTAAAGCCCACCTGTAGTGAAGACACTGTCTTCTTGTGAGCTGGTCTGAGACTCTAGAATATGCACTACTCCAAAATTTTACTTTCTAGAGAACACATAGTAATATATATACTTTATCAAAAAAATAACTGAAGCCAAAACCAAGCCTCCAACAAAAGGCAATATAAAATATTTAAGAGAAAATGAGCAATCACAGAAGAAAGGCATACAAAATTTCCTGAAGAATAGAGCTCCAATACAAGAAGACCTCATGAGGTCTTACAAACTTCAGGCAAATGTTACCAGCTCTTTAACTGTCGAGAAGTTCAACATAAGACTACCTTATCCAGCAAATTCATTCAGGGCCCTTGATAATACAGTGTTGAACTTTTATTTTCAACATGCAAAGCTCATGGCATGGACCTTAAGTCTCTGTTATCCCCCATTATACTTTACAAACAAAACTGTACAAAAGTTGAGAGCATGCACTATACTCTCTCAATTTAACAAAGGTCAGAGTTAATACAGAACAAATTTTTCAGCAGAAAAGAGAGAAAAGAAGTATCTCGGAGAAGAAAAGAAATATTCTACACATTGGAATAATGAAAATTTTATCAGTTTATACATCAAGAAGGAATATGGTGGCGATAAACAAGGTCTGGATTTGATTAAGCAATTCTTGCGTCCTGAACACTTAGGAATATAAGGACTACTTTATAATCATAGGGTGATGTGAATGGATACAAGTCCAACGCTCTGAAAAGAAAAAAAAAAAAAAAAAAAAAAAAGCCTGCATTATTTGTCCTTCCTTAACAAGTAAGGGTTGCCTTCAGAAGTGGAAACTTTGAAGCTGTCACAATCTACAAAAGTTCAGAATGGCTGAGGCCGGAAGAGACCTCTGGAGATCACCTTCTCCAAGCCCCCCTGCTCAAAAAGGGTCACCTAGAGCCAGTTACCCAGGACCATGTCCAGACAGCCGTTGAAAATCTCTGTGGGAGACCCCATCACCTCCCTGGGCCACCTGTGTCAGTGCTCAGTCACCACTGTGGTGACAAAGTGTTGCCTGGTGCTCAGAGGAACCTCCTGGGTTTCAGTTTGTGCCCATTGCCTCTGGTCCTGTCACTGGGCCCCTCTGAGAGGAGCCTGGGTCTGTCCTCTCTGCACTCTCCCTCCAAGTATTTGCACACATCGATTTTTAAATCTCAGAGAACAATTAGTATGAAATAATAGAATCACAGAATCATTTAGGTTGGAAAGGACCATCGATTCCCCTGAGCCTCCTCTTCTTCAGGCTGAACAGTCCCAGCGCTCTCAGCCCTTCCTAGTTTAGCTCAGAGATGGCAGAGTGACAACTTCTAGCCCAGTGTCTACTATACTGAGCACTTTTTTTCATCGAAAAATCTAAACAGTTACTGACAAGGATTAATTGTTATCTATTCCTGGGATATTTAAGGCAGTCAGCAGTAACAACAATTTTGGTTAAGTACTTACCAAAAAAAAAAGTATGTTACGTTTAATGTCTGGATTTCAAAGATGCAAAAGGCTTTGATATTTTCATTGGTGTTCTTAACACCTCAGGATGCCGCTTATAGGCAAAATCATGAGAGATCTGTTTTACCAGTATTATTTTCTAAGTGGTGGGATGATAAGATCATACAAAGACATTGAGGTGCTGGAGCGTGTGCAGAGAAGGGCAACGAAGCTGGTGAACGGTCTCAAGAACAGGTCTTACCAGGAGCAGCTGAGGGAACTGGGGTTGTTCAGCCTGGAGAAGATGAGGCTGAGGGGAGACCTCATTGCTCTCTGCAACGGCCTGAAAGGAGGTTGTGGTGAGGTGGGGGTCGGTCTCTTCTCCCAAGTAACAAGTGATAGGATGAGAGGAAATGGCCTGAAGTTGCACCAGGGGAGGTTGAGATCGGACATCAGGAAAAATTTCTTTACTGAAAGGGCTGTCAAGCACTGGAAAAGGCTGCCCAGAGAACTGGTGGAGTCACCATCCTTGGAGGGATTTAAAAACAGGTACACATGGTGCTTTGGGACAGGGTTTAGTTTTGGGCTTGGCAGTGCTGGGTTAATGGTTGGACTCCATGATCTTGAAGGTCCTTTCCAACCTAAATGATTCTGTGATTCTATTATTTCATACTAATTGTTCTCTGAGATTTAAAAAGCCACAAACAAAATAAATCAAATATAGACACGTTTTGATTTGCTGATTTCTGAATCTGAATGCTAGATGTGAAGCTTCTCTGGGGATCTAAATGCAACTTAGCTGCAAAATAAAATTACTCTACAGCACCTAACACAACAGGTTGAAAACATGTAACTAGAGCTCAAAAAAATTACAATTGAACCATCTCTAGAAAAAACACAAGTGAAGTACAATATAAATAGAAACCAGTCTTGAGACTACAGTGAATACACTGCACCACTGAAGAAAGATTTTCCCTGCAACTGACTTCAGCTCTACCCTGTATGAAAGGCACAAGGTATTTTAAATCAGCCCCAAGCTGATGCAGGAAGTCAAACCTGGAATCCTCTCCTCCCATGTCCAAATTCAAAATTCTATTTAGAGCTAAAAATACACATTACATTACAAAGTAGCATATCATCAAGTCCAAATATTTATAGAACTTCATGGAAATTTCAGTGAAAGTTTGTATCACAAATAAGTTATTGGTTATAATAGTAAATGTTCATCATTTCCATCTCCATATATCCCTTTAATTTAAGCCTCTATAAATAATACTGTAGTAAGAACATGAACAGGGAACATAATTCCAACAATATTTAGACTTTCTTTTTAAAAATAATTGAATGTACTGTCTGTACTATGCACACACATACTAATTCAGCAGTCGTACAGGTTGAACTGGCCAACTGAAGTCAACTTTTTCTCCTTTTGTAAGGTTCTATATTCTTATTTGCTGCCACTGTTAAGAGGGTAAAAATCTTAAGCAGTAATGGTACTGAACACAAAAATGTCTTCTCACTGAAAGCTAAAAAAACTTGTCCTTTGATTGCTGCGAGATGAAGTATTTAATTTCTGTACTCTAAGTTTCATACTGAACAGAATGAATATAAAAAGCCAACCATACACACATATACATTTTTGGATGCAAATTATTAGCCAGCCAGAATCACTGACGAACACTACTCCAGTATTTAGAACCAAATAAAGGAAGACCACATCACACTACTTCAGTAGCAGTTTTTTAATTTCTTACCAATATTGGCAAGCAATTACATATGCTGGGTCGCTTAAATCAACAGACAAAATTGCTATGTCCTGACAATACGAACAGCTACTACAGAGTTTAGAATTCTAAATAATATACATTGTGTGCTCTTTAAAACTAGATTTCAAACATTCACTTTGTAATCAGCATACTTAATAATTTACTAATTAAAAATTCCCCTAATTCAGTAATTCAAAACATAATTTAAGGAGCTCATTTAGCAATCACATAAGTTTACCTGCTGCTTCATTATCTTTATCTGCTCCTTTTGCTTTCGTTTTTCTTCAGCTGCCATAATAGCTAAAGGACAAAAGCAAACAAAAAAATTAGTATCAGCAGAACATGACAAGAGATAGCTAACTTTTCACTAATACTTTTCAAAATAATCTGCTAGCATGCCCAAAGTTTCACAAGTAATACCTACCTTGCTGTTTTTTTGCTTCTTTGGCAGCTCGAGCTTGTTCCTGCTTCTGGAGCTTTCTCAGTAGCTTTATTTGTGCTGCTTGCCTAGCTATTTCTGTAACAAAAAGAAAATATTAATGTCATAAAACCAGTGCTGTCCAACAATAAAGATATAGCTCATATTCCAGACATTTTCATGAGTTAAATATGTGCAAAACAGATCCACTGTTTTCTCTATCTTTATCTTGACAACTTTTCACTATAAACTACTTTTAGTGGTCTCTCATGTATCAGTAAGTACATCAACAGCGCAAATGAACATGGATGTTTTCTACTTAAAAGAAAATACTATTTTTGGAGGAAAAAAATACCTATTAAGTGACAGCATTGGGCCAATAATGCTGCTTCACTTAAAAATTGATTTCTTCTTTCTTTTTAAAGCAAAACCCATTTTTCTCAGAGTACTAAATCAACATTTTATTCAGAAAGCATGGAATTACTGTCTTCTTTAGAAGTCACCTCCTGTAATTACGAATTTTTTACGAATGCAGTAAGAGCACACAAGACTCATCTGGGTCACACCTCTCTGTACTGTGGCTACCTACAGCCAGCCACTCTTCCACTAATTAGTCACTTCCTGAAGCATTCCACTATTTTAAGTAAGAATATTTATGGGATTTGCATGAACTGTGCACGGCCACACTGATGTAAGACAGCTGTAGGACAGCATGCTATTCAAAGGACTGATGTCCAGAATGTCTCCGACAGCATCCTCCAAAATACTGTCAGCTTCTTGTGCAATGACCAAGATGCAGGCAGACGCATGGAAAATCCACGTACAGGTAAGATGATGCCATAGATAGCAAGGGTAGTGTAAATAGGTACACAACAACAGTGAAACCTTCAGGGCCAAGGAGAAACCATACAGAAGAAGTTACACCTTAATCGAAACAGAACCAGTAGCTGGAAATCAGAATTTACATCACAGAGGAGAAATTAAACTATGAACTATGGAAAGGCCAACAGATGCAGAAGACCGCTTAGTCTGAATTGACACAATCCACAAGGAGGATGCAATTAATATTCGGCATGCGTTTGAAAAGGACAGATGGGAAAGAAACACCTATAGTGCAAAAAACAGGGATGACAAATCAGACCACTTGTATTTCCATTCAACTAGTACGTGCTGTATTGAGCAAAATGTAAGGCCTTGTAAATCAAGCCAAGAAATGTAAAAAGAAATTAGGGAAACTAGAATTCCTGGTACCAAATGACAACTCAGATGTAACGGACGTATCACAGACACAGTAGAAGGATAATTAATAATACATGTTGTTACCAAGTACGAACGTTACAGGAATATCAGAATGAGATGTAAGGCAGAAGACGTGCTTTCTATGCAAAGTGCAGTATCAAGTCACATAGTGTAAAAATGATGAATGAAGAAACATCTGTGTAGTCCATTTGGTGGAACCCTAAAAGAAGCTATACAAAAGCAGTCTTCACGCACGCATACTTCAAGTGAGCAATCTACAGGCAGTTCAAAAAAAACATATGCTTGTCCAGCTAAATACTGAGCCGTTTAAAAACGGAAAAAGGTAGTCCATGTGTCGTTCTTTAGAAAAGGAGGCTGTCATAGGAAAACAGTAAGCATGTAAAAAACTAGAAGCGTGTTCAAGTAAGAACAGAAAAGCCTATGACAGACCAAACTTAAAGAATGAGTGAGAAAGGCTAAAAAAGAATTTGAAGAGCACCTTGCAAAGGACGCCTGAGCAGATTGTAAAAGATCTTTACATACATCACAACAGGAAGTCAGAAATACAATCAGTGGGACCTAACGGTGAACAGGATAAAAAATAGAGCCTTAGGAAAAAAGCTTAATGAATTACTTGTGCCAGTCTCTACTGCTGAAGATGCCGGGCAGATTCCCCTACTCGGAGCGTCATCTACAGCAGACAAGTCAGAAGAACTACATGAATTTGAGGTAAATACAAAAGAAGCATTACATCAAGAAGGTAAGTCAGATGTTAACAGATGACTAGGACGTGACAGATTAAGCTGAGAAATCTGAAGGAACACTAACGTGAAACCACAGAGACATCTGGCTGTTTACTGTATTATTAACAATAGCCACTGTGTCATAGGATTGGCAACTCTCATCAACAACAAAAAAAGGGCTCTAGCAGAAGTCTTGGGAACTGCAGATCAGTTAGTCTGATTTTCCTTTCCTGTTTGAGGTGGTAGGATCTTATTGCACATATGATATCTTATATATACTTACTGAGTACATTATAAAACACTATCAGTTCAGACAGGCGGCATGGCTTCTACAAAGGGAAATTTCTGCCTAATTTCAGGTTTCAACGAGAGCGTCAGTAACAGGGAGATAAAGACAATCTAATAGATATAATGTATTTGGAATTTCAGAAAGTATTTTACTAGGTTCTAAGTCAAACGTTATTAGTAAAACTAAGCTGTTATGTCATTGAAGGCAAGCTTCACAGACTGAAAGCTCTTTAAATGATAGCAAACAAAAGGCAGAGCTCAGCAGTCACCTTTTGTGATGAAGAAGAGTTAGCAGAGAGTTTCTTCACAAATCAGTATTACAACCAGCTTTATTTAATACTTTTTCATCAGCGGAACCTGGAAAGGGGACTGCAAAGTTAAATTCCAAAATGTGAAGACAATATTAAGCACTCTGGAAAATCCAAGGCTGTGCTGACAGCAAGAAACTCTGGAAGAGCCCTGAAAAACAGTGGGCAAAGGTAGCAGAAGAGCTTCATCATAGGTAAATGTAAGGTAACACACCTAGAAAAGAAATACTGAAATTAGAGGACACACAAGAGGATCAAAGGGATGGAACAATCTTCTGAGAAAAAAACCTGAAAATACTTGAGGTTTTTCAGTTTGGAGAGGAGAAGACTAAGAACAGAGAGGATTAAGGTATGCAAAATCATTAAAGTGGTGGATAGCAATTTGGAGAACCGTTACTCTCCAAACCCTGCAGGAACACCCACCAATGGTAACAGAAGGTCATTTTTTAAAAACTAAAATGGTACAGTAGTTAGCAGACTTCTGGAACCTGTTGCCACCAGAGGCTGATAGAGCAAACGTTGTCAGGAGGTTAAAAAACAAACAACAGACTAATTCACGTGCAGCAGTTCTATAAACTGAAAATAAATGGAACAAGAAAAAAAATGTACTCTACAACATCACTCATAAAACAACTCAGGATGCCACAGTACGAGGAAATAAATGGACCAAGAAGTGATCAGGTTCACATGCTTTCTCCCATGGCCACTATGGGAGACAGTGTTCTGCACTAGATGAACTGCTGGGCTGAGCCACTGAGACATTTCTAATGTTCTCATGAGGGGAAAAAAGCAGGGTAGATATGAATAAACTAACATGAAATATTATACATCCTGAATCTTCTTGTATCTATAGACCACGTTTTTGTTCATTTTACTAAATGCTACAGTGCATGGTGGGAAAACAGACATGGGAGAACGTACCTAAATACTTCTCCTCCACCCCTTACAGCGACCAATACAGGGAAAAAGTTGCAAAGTGAAACAAAATGGCTTAGTGACTAGGGCTTATCTTTTCCCACTGAGAAGAAAAGACTTCTGGAATTAGTCACTGTGCCTCAACAATAAACACACAGCCTCTCAGCAAATGCTACGATGCTTCAGCAGTTGACACAGTTTCCTAATTCTCAGCTGACACTTACAGTTTCCTAATTCTCATGACCGAACCAAAGGTGGCGGTGACCTTAACACAGGTAAAATAGCTGTGCAACACTACAAGACATACCACAAATTAAGGTATTTATAAAACTGCTTTCTCTCTGTCCATGGGTCCAAAGAATTACCTTATTTGGCTGCATACCTTAAACATTTCTGTATAGAACAGTACTCTTTGCAGGCAACAAGGGAAAAAGATGCAAAGAATCGCACCAAGGCAGGTATTAACGGCACACGTACTGTTAGCAAGGACACTATGCAAAACACAATGTTGCTCCCCAAACATGTCCACAGTCAGCATATGAAAGAACAGTGAAGTCCTAAGTTAAAACAAACATCCTGTAAGAGTTTTTCATACTGGATTAGATGCATTCAGAAAATACGATACGGTTATGGACTGAAGAACTGAAATTCGAAAATTACATACCTGGTGTTAATTAAAATCAGGTCCTCATGCTTTTTATATATAGTAGTACCTGACACCATGGAAGTTCCACTGTCAACATTGGTACTCCTTATTACAGGAGCCTATTCAACCTTATGGGCATTTAAATCTTGTCACTATCAGAGATTTTACAAGAATAGCATTTTCACTGTGAAGCCAAAAGCTTCACAGAAATGCTAACTTCAGATCACAATTTCAATCTCTATGTCCACTGTTGTTTGAGCTGATACAGGAGAAAACAAAGATCTGTTCATTTTTGCCAATTTAAAAAAATTACATCAGTGGTAACCAGACTATTGGATGTCTGCTTTTTTAAATTTTATAAATCTAAATAAAGCAACTGTAGAGTAAGCTCTTACACACGCATTTACACACACACTTCTTCCTTTGAATCATATATACTCTACTGATCTTGAAAAAGGCTTTAATAAAAGCATGTGACAAATTTCCAAAACAAAATGTTGTATAGTAATATCCTAGTGACACATATCACTCCTCTTCAGAAAAAGTATTAACTCTCTATATACTGACACCCTCTGTTCATGAAAACAGCAACATACTACCTACCTTGAGCCTGGAGCTTTCTTAAAAGCTTTGCATCAGTGTTGTCTAGAAACTCAGTGCTACCAACATTTGGAGGTCGGCCTTTGCGTCGTCTCATTCTTGACTCTTCTCTAGAGTGCTGTCTGTCGGGATTTGGTGGTCGTCCTCTACGCCCTTCCATAGCTCTGATACGGGGAATGACTTCCTCTTCCTTCAGAAGACACCACTGCACACCCTTTTAATTGACACATTTCAGAGACAGGTATTACAAGCACAGACTAAAAAAAGGAAAAATAAATCTATGACAATTGAGAACATGAACAGCAAGAGATGTCGTGGTTGTTTTTTTTTTCCTAAGTAAGTTATATATACAAAATATGCAAGAGCTGTGATGCACTACTTGGGTAGTACAACATTTTGATGACGCATAGAAGCTATATATTGAACACTTATCATTACTATGCAAGATTTTGAAGACTATGCAGTGACACACAGGTATTACCTAGCAGGTATACCACTACCATGTTATTTTTAATTATTTCTGACCAAATCACTTATTGCTCAACCCTTTTTAAAAGGACTAATGGATTCTTCCTTATTACGTAAACTCAAAAATAACTACTCTGCTCTCACATAATCCACTGCTCAACGTGAATGAGAAAACACGTCAAGCTACGAGTCACTGTCTTCCAACTGTTAGCGTTTGCCGAGTTTTTGACATACATGACAAGCAAATGCAGTAACGTATTTTCAAATATTGCTTTCTGGGGTGTTGTAGATGTAAACAAAGTTGAAAAAACAAACTCATTTTAATCTTGAAGTTTTATTTAGTACAATTTATTTCTCCCCTCATCCACTGCAAGCAAATTAATTTCTGCGTCAACTTGAAGCAATTGGAAGTTGGTAACTTTTAAGAATCCATCTATCTGAACCAGAAGTTGTATTAACTATATTCTCAAACTAAACAAATGCAGCAATACATTCAACACAGTCTTTCACTACTATGACTGGTTTTTCATGAAATCTCAAAAACAAATAGTGAAACACTTTGTTAATACAAATACCCAAGTTAGTCCTCACACAGAAACAGCTTTACTTTAACTGATAAAAAGTAGAGTTTATTGCATCTACTGAGCAGAACAGGAGCATGGTCTATCCGATCCCATTTGATTGAACATGAGTATTTAAAAATTGTAAGATCTTTTAACACTTTTCCAAGTTTTTGAAAAATGTGGGGGGAAAATGTAAGCTAAGTACCCTTAGGGACTACTCCATAATCTGCCTTAAAAAGGTTTGTAAAAGATTTTGAAAATGTCTGCAAAGGCAAGAATGAAAGTTGGTAACTTATAAAACACATTAGTTAAATATCTGTTCAGAAAAAATAATTTACATTATCAAAGTTTTCACAATTATAGTACATAAACACTGAAATCAAATTTGCTGTACCATAAAACACATTTTTATTTGCTCATTCTGACAATTTACCTTCTTTCTGCTCATGTGTCATAATTACAAACATTTAATATAAGATTTGACAAGAGAAATGCCATTTTTGCTAATGAAACGTTCAGATTCCAAGGAAGCTGTCAGTATCTGCAAAGACACCTTTTTTTGAAGTCTGAATCACTCCCAGTTAAGACCACCCCCAAAGTACATCTCACACACAGACATTCCAAAGGGCTTTGTTATTAGCTATGATCCTGAAAACCACCTGTTCAGCATCATGATCGTATCACTATGTGTACAATGCATCATCTCGAAGGACTTTTCAATCCAAAATAGTTACCTCTATCACTTAAAGAGAAGTTAATTAATTTTCTATCTTTAAGAGTACTACTTCGGCATGCACTTTCATTTCACTGTCTAGCACCTGACTTAACGATTTACCACAGGTTCAGTCTGTTGAGCAATGTAAGCTAGATTTAATACCGTACTTATCACTTACACCAACCTCCAATCTAGGAAATCTTACCTCAAAAACTGCAAGACCCTGGGTGGGGTGGCATGGGGGAAGTCAAAGTAGAATTCAAAGAAAAGGAAGAGAAGCAGCCATAGTTCAAGAAGTAACTTAGATCCTGCAATGGAGACTGCTCTTGCTCTGTGTTATTATTTTCTGTGATTAATGATACTAATGACAACAAATATGCAGAAAAGATAGATGTTGTCAAGATCATTAGTGCCACAGAGACCATGGATGTATATTACATTTTCCTAACGTCTCCCGCAAGAGAAACTAGATGCCACCAAATGAAGCTAGTAGAATGTTCAATAAGCAAAAGGAGCTGGCGTTTCAAGGAACAAGGAGAAGACTGTTTAATGTCCTGCCAAAGGACACTGTGGATGCAACAAGTTCCCACAAGTTTAAGAGAAGACAAGACAAAAATAGTCCAGAAAAGACCCATTAAGGGTTAAGCAGGTGCTAATTGACCATCTATATTATTTGCTCAGATATCTTAAAATCTGACCCAAAATAAATTTCTAATAAAAGAATGTACAATCTGATATTCTGTGGATTTTCAATACTCCAAAGAAAAAAAATGAGGGTTGTGCCCCAACATAGGAGAATCAGAGGCTTCCATAAAATCCAAACTTCACTACGCAAACATTCGAATAAAACCAGGAATAACACCGTGAAATGTTGTATTTCATTGTTGAAACTCATCAAAGCAAGGACTTGGCTCTATTTCTCACCTTCAGGAATCCACCTTCTATCGCAATACTGTTCTGTAATCAGGCCATTTGCCAGAAAGGCACCAGATAACTATGCGTGGAAGCAGAATCAAGCTCAAAGACCGTTAACCAAACTAACGAACAAAACCACAAGCATTTTGCAAGAAGGAGACGTCCTCATTAATTTCAACTTAAGATTTGTGAGAAAAAATTAACAACAAAGCTTTCTAAACTTAATTGCAGAATTCAGCATAGAACATTTTCAATTCCAGTTTCTAGAAAAGGAAGCAAATAATTACTACTACATTACAAATGCATACGACAGCTGATTATATAGTCGGCTGTTCTGTACGGTATTTCTATTGTATCTGTAATAAACATTTTATTAGACTTCCAAATACCTATTCACAGAGTAAGTCTCTTAAGGAAACAACAGTAAGCTTAAGAGGTAGACTTCACAGCTTATAAAGATGCTGTATTTGTTCTGAGGCAGCACCATAAACAAGTACCCTCAGAAATACCAATGTACATAGGAGTTACTATTCACTAAGGAGACAGGAAAAAGTACTTTAAGCACTTTCATCCTTTCCCATTCCCGAATTCCTAGG